ACAAAATACATAAACCACAAGTCAAGAACATCTAACACTTCTGGATTTGTTGCTGTCACCGGGAAGTGAGGAGGGTTAACTTACCTGCACGGTGGCATCCAGCTCTAAACCAGTGTGGTCTGCCCAGAAAAGCCTGCTGTCCAGACCCCAGCGTTTTCTTTGCGCTATGACAAACATTTTTAAAGTATGTGTCTTACATATAACAAGAATTAAGATTTATTTTGCACTTATTTCTTTTAGTCATATATGTCAAACTGCAACATTTCAGGAACCTGCGGGCTTGGAAACTAAGCATAGTTGACATTTTGGACAGAGAACAAATTTTCTTCTCTATTAAATTTTAAGACTTCACAAGACAAATGCAGCTCACACTCGCTCATTGCCATTGGAAGGTGAGCACCTGGGATTGGCTCACTGAAAAGGTGAGTTGTGGGTATAAAATATTTATCCATTACATGCTGTTCAAACATCTTTTTACTCTGCTACCCTTCTTACTGATTGAGAAACACAGCATGATTCATCCAGTTGGAACAGACTGCATATTGTACCAGTCTCCTCAAGCTTATGGCAATAGCAGTCCAAGCTATTCACAGAAGCTGTAATGGGTATTTTCTTCCTTCTGTTTTTACATTTATTTTCCTTATCTGTCACTCTGTCACCTGTAAGGCATATCTGAGTGACGACTGAATCGGAGAAAAAGAACTCCACATATAGCTAAAATATATGTGTTAGCTGCCTCTGGGCAGACACGCTCTCTGTCCCTTGCCTCAAAAGCCCTGGTGAAACAATGCTGGGGCATGTGTTGCTGAGTCTGTTTGCATTTAATTCACAGCTTAGTCTTTAATAGCTACACCCCCCTGCTTGCTGCTGACCCTGGGGGCCATTCTACTACCCGAGCCAGACTATAATAGCTTGTACTGACATACCGCCTCCTACAGATGAAGCTGGATAGACAACCAGAAGTGTCTCATTTTCTCAAGATGTAGTTAATGACAGATGTTTAGAAACACTCCCAAAATTCTGGGTCAGGGCGTGAAAGAAACCTCTGCATCCCACACATGTGAATTCTAAAGCATTCCAAGCAATAAAATCACAGATTATCCCCTCAGAGGGGTTTCAGCCAGAATTATAATACAATCAAATGCAGTTGGGCATAGATATGTACTGTATGTGTGTGTGCACAAGTGCTAAAAGAAAAGAAAGAAAATTAAAAAAGACTGAGGGCAATGGAGAAAGAGTGAATTAGTGAGTGAGGGGGAATAAAAGGAAAAAGTGGGACAGAGAAAAACACAAGCAACTTTCCAATCATGTAGCATTTGTGCAAAGAGCCAATTATCTTTTAAAAGATAAAAGTGAGAATGATGTGCAATCAAACAAGACTAAGAGTCTGCAGTAGGTTCACGTCTTTGTGAGGCTGTACTTAGGCAGAGCAGAGCACTGAGCTAAATGCTAATGTCAGCATGCTAACATAATATAATGAAAATATTACTATGCAGAAGAAACTGGGTCATGTTGTTCACCACCGTAATTTAGCATTTTAGCATGCTAATATTTTCTGTTTAGTGTACATTTTAGGACAAATTAAAATGTTGACCTGGTTTCATGGCATTCCATCCAAAGCTTGTTGAAGTATTTCAGTCTGGAAGAGGTGGACCAAGCAGCTGGAGGACTGAACAGAAAATCTATGTACTCTTTGAATGTAGACATGCAGATGGTCATACGCCACCTGCTGAAGAAATATATGTAATGCTCCAATATACTGTATGGTGTCAGAGATAAAAAGGGTGTGACAGGGCATTGGGCCTGAACTGGTAAACCAAATGATGAAGTGGTCATCATATGCTGTTTTCACCTGTAGCAATAATGAACAGGAATTAACTGTAGTATTCTATTTGCCAAAAATGCTTATCTGAAAAATGATCAAAGAATGGAATTAGAAAATCCATATCAAATTATTATCTCTACAAATTATGAACATTTTAACACAATTTAACTAAAAACTATCAAGAGAGTTTTACATTACTCTTGTTTCACAATATTGCTGTTTTCCATTTTAGTTCCAAAAGCCATTACAATTTACCGGAACAAAACAAAGAAATGGAGGAAGGTCTAAAAGTGAAAGCAGCTGCTATTAAGAGGGAATCATTTTTACACTCCTGTTCCTTTATCATTAGATTGAAAGGTAGGATGTGGAATCTTTTATTTGGGGTTAAAATGATTGAAATGCCTGACAAGGACATCTCCACTGTGCACACATGATGTGTTAAGCAATAATAGTTTGTGCGTCCGCAGCTATTTGCTGCTTTCAGAGGAAGGCTGTTGGAGCGTGCAGTCACATCCAAGTGTGGGCAGTAAAAGATGGCCAAGTCTTATGTTCTTAAAAATCAACTGAAATTGGAAATAATTTGGGGACATTTTGTTCTCTTGAGGCACATACCAATAAAGTAGCTGTTTGTACAATAAAGTAACAGTTTGTAGATATTTTTATGTCATGACAGAAGGATACGACTTCTTCCTATTTTGTAGTTGATCTTTTATGTCAACGCACTAAACGGCTCCATTTGTTTTCACTTTGCTCTCTCCTGTGTCTGATCACAAAGCTATGCACTCAGATCATCAATGACAAGACAAACATACCCTTTAAATGAAGCCTAAACCCTGGTGAGAAGTTTTGACAACTACACAACAGAGCAACTACTGTGTGATGAAGCAGAAGACTTGGAGGCAGCAGAAACAAGATGTAAACGCAGCATTGAGATCTTATCAACATTTAAAGATCATTTACAGTATTTACACTGCAGAGTAACATTAACATTCATTTATTGTCATGTTTCCAGCCACCTGGTGAATATACATCCAATATTCATTCACTTTTTGCTCTGTATTTGGTCTCCACCAATTCCTGATCTAGGAGCTGTTACAGACTCCACTGTATTCACCAGTTAATCAATACCTTTGTCTGGATGCCATTACAGTGTTTATTTTGGTGGTAAATGATGCTATGAGAACAGTGAGCATGAACCTGAAGAGCAAAGTTGCAGGGCAGAAAACCAAAACAATGGGTTGAAACATACTCTAAAGGGGAACTGCAAGGTTTGTCACTATGATCAACCCCTTTCACATTACACAAGGTAATGTTAATGCAATGTTATTATAAACATACAGATTCTAGCTATTTTAAGCAACTAAAACTATTTTGATAAAGTAAGACTGTCACCACGGTCAAAAGAAATGCTGCCAAGAGATGGCACAAAGCACAGTCTAACTACAGAAATGAGAATACGGACAGGAGGAACAAGTCATGAGTTGATGCAAACACTTTCTACCAGTCTCTCCCAAAACAGCATGACTCTTTTTCTGCCTTCATTAAATGTAAACTTTGCAAGATCTCCTTGTCCATGTGAAACACTGCTACCTTAACTCTGGGCACAGGTGCTACAGCAACAATCTGAAGTGGTGATAGGCAGGAAACAGCCCTCAGAATAGCATACGTTAACGTTTCACCTTCCACTACACCAGCACCACATAATTGTGGAGGTACTTCCATGCACAAAAACAACTAACTTGGCTAAGAGTCCTTTTCGGACCTGGCTACTTATAAAATCACCTGAAGGGGAATTCTTCTCAAACTGGGACAAAGCTTCACTGTTATCTTTATGGTTTCCTGTCTATCTGTGATGCTCCTACATTTTAGTAAAGATCAAGGTTACAATAAAGACTAATAAAAACCCTAATTGCACATTTGTCCTACTTTATAATATCTTCCAGCAGATTGTGTTTAGTAGGACAAATCCTGACATAGTCCAGCTCAAACAGAGCTTTCTACTCTGTGAGGCACTAGACCAGGTGGGTTTTTAAGATGCCCCCCTTTTCAGCTTTTGTTCTCTCTCCCTCAGCTCCTCTCCTTCTGTCTCTCCTTCCTTCTGTCTATCCCAGTGGAAACAGATATGAAAGGCGATAAGGAGCCAGATGGGAACACAGCTATGAATCCAGACTTGAAGCAGTAAAAATGCAGAGGTCCACTGTTAATTCAAGGGAGAGATACTGATTGGTGCTGTGTGTTTAGAGAAGCAACAACGCTGTGGCACTAACAGTGGCCAAAGCAGGTCCATACATATTTGGCCTTCATCCTGACCTCTTTCACCAAGTTATAATCTGATTAATAGATGGTCAGAGCAAACCTAGCTCTATTTATTGCCTAACAATTGCATGTTTTCTGCTCAGGTGGCTAAAAGATAACTGGTTTTGAAAAACAGGATGACCCATTACAATCCTGATTTCTTCAAAAATCAGAAAAACACTTTAATGGTTATGATGCTTAAAACACAACATTTTCCCCCACTGGAAAAAAAACAAGAACCTTTTTATAACATTTACTTGAGAATAATCCTATACGATTAAAAAGCAAAGGGAAAAAGAAATTATAACTCAGTTTTTGTATTGTTGCTATTCAATTAGCAGGTGCGTCCTTCCTGCTGCTGCCAGTCTGTACAACCAGCATTTCTCCCAGTAGTACAGACAAAAAAGAAATAAAGAAAAATATCTTTGAATGAATTCAAGTTAAAGCAACAACAAGTGCATTTCTGCAGGCTGCATCAGTAAAACACACCAGTTCAAAGTCCAACACCTTGATGCCTTTCGTGGTCTAACAACTGTCTTTTGGGTTTAGATCACATGTCACACACGTGTTAAAGAACTGAGGCAAATATATTAGCAGAGCTGGATGTAGCCATGGACACTATCATAAAGCCCCTTTGGCAAAGTTCATTCTTACCACTTCAGTTCCTTCTAACAGAAATGTGAATTGTATCATCTTCCTTCTAACAGAAATGTGAATTGTATTATCTTATAATTAGTCCCATAATGTATTGTATAACTTATAGTGACAGGAGAAGGGATTGACAGGAAAAGAACTGAGTTCAAAACTGTGTATATCTGTATATTCTGTGTGTGTATAAGGCATATTTATGTCTGTATATACGTAATAGTGCTCGCTGTACCTGTCCCCAGGTCGGTGTGCTCCTGAGACATGTGCTGGCTCTGGTGGACCCATTCACCGTTGCACTTGAAGAAGATTTGGAGAGCGGGTCGAGCTTGACACCGGAGCTTGATGGGGTTACTCTTGACAATGTAAGCATCAACGGGCTCTTCCATGAAGTGGGGCAGTGTCCCAGATTGGCCATGCTGCAGGGCTTCACCTCGGGAACCTGAGGAAAAAAAATGAGAATAATATGAGACTGTGTATAAAATAAACATGAATACTGAAAAAGAGAAATGCTAGATAATACAAAACTCCACTGCAGATGCACAGTGTTTTCCTGAGCACAACAGTCTTTAATATTTTAAGTAAACATGGATGTACACATAATGCTACAGGAGAAAGCTGAGCTCAACTTTATTTTGCAAACCTGCAAAATGTTTATAATAAAAAGAGAAGTGGGACAGGAACTGAAACATGCAGCAGATTTTATCCCAGTGCAATTTTACTATAGCGATGAGTAGACATACGTTTTGACAACAACCTTCGTTGCTGGAGAGGAAAGACACAGCCAGTAGTTAAAATGTCAGCAAACAGGCTCCACAGGTCAAAGAACAAAAAGCCAAAGCAAAACTAAACAAAAAAAGCAATTAGTGGAATCACTTGAAGAAGAAAAAGACATCTGAATGGTGATTAGGCAGATCTACAGCAGTCCCATAAAGACGTATGTGATCTCTCAGATGTTGGTGTTCACTGAAGTCAGAATGCCAGAAAACACACTGGGAACACATTAACAGGCACTACTCCCCTTCTTCCTTTGCCTGTCTCAGGTGCGTTCCAGTCAGTGCACGTTTTGCTTCTTCTGAGGCCTCACAAGTGTAATTATACTCCGACTAATCCCCTAGTTTGCTGGAACCTCTTTCATGCAAGTGTGAAGGGTTTAGTGAGGTAAACCGTCCTGCACACGCCCCTCCTGATCCCAGCTCCCCACTGCATGTTTTTCCACAGTGATGGGTGTACCACTGAAAACCCCATCAGGATTAGAGAACCCACTCTCTCTTTCTCCCTTCCACTCTCTAGCTAATCTAATCCTCCTACCTTCCCTGCTGGATGTCTCCTGATTGAGGGGGATAGATAAAAGACTGTGTGATTCCCTGGCTGTAAAAATCACAGCACTTACTCAGTGTTCCTCTCCCCTCTGTGCAACACATTCACATTCTCTCCTTCATTCCTGGAACCGAGGCTGAACAAAGAGATATGCTTTTAATTTCAAAATGACTAGCCCCGGGCATGCTTTTCATCTACGGAGTGCTTCAATTTGTTTTGCACATGGAGCATTGACATGGTGTGTTTGTATTTGGATAGATGCAAAACATAGACGTGAGTGCACATCCAGATGATGATAGATGGGCGCATGAAAACACAAACACACAGCTGTCAAACAAAGCCACAGCCCTCCAAGTAATGACTCATTTGTTAGTAGATCAGGTATTGTACTAATGTTTATCACATGACAGTTTAATGCCAATTATCAACATCAACAGCAGCGAGGTTTCATTACAGGCCCTATTTCAAAGTTTGCTGTTTGTTCGCTTTTCAAATGTTCCTTTTTTATGTAGCAGGTGGGAGAGAACTGCAGCAGACAGATTAGGAGACACACAGGAAAGGAAACTCTGGTGTGATTTAACCTCAGGCTGGTGATGAGACATGTGACTCTAGAGGGAAACACAAGCACTTAACTGTCTCTGGGAACAGCATAACGTCAAAAATAGCTGAGTATAGATCACAAAGAGCAACACTGAGCACGGTCTATAGGATGCCGCTCCACTGCTGCGCCTTGCGGTACACATGGCAATGAGATGACTTGCACCGTTAATCATACGAGCTGCGGCTCAAACAGGACGTGAGGTCGTCAGGGGTGGCGCAGGTTTCTGTTTGCTATCCGACCATTCTCCACTCACTAAGATCATGTGGCTGTTGCGGGGCTGAGTGATTTGCATGTCACTTCCCAGGACATGCCAAAGACCAATATCTCACCTCAATATGCTTCTCCACTGTCATTCAGGAGACTGCTGTGCCCTGCACTTCAGTTTTCACAGTGATCTACAACCAATTCTTCAGCCTGGCAATAACACATAAGAGGCACAGATACATCCAGCCCCGTCTGAGAGGAAAACAAGACATCACTGCCAAAGGGCTGAGTGATGACACCCTCGCTCTTTCTTTCTCACACAAACAAGCCTTTGTCCAGGAAACCACCAGTCTGCTAATCCTGCATCAGCTGCATTATCTGTAAGAGAACCCAGAGATGTTTTAATTTCCCTCAAATGCAGTAAACACTCCATCTTTTTACATGCAAAATTAAAAGCAGTGAATAAGTGTGGTCTCTTATGCCACTTCAATTTATTCATATCTTTTAGTGAAAATCTAAATGAAATGAGGGGTAAGAGCCCCTAGCTGACTTGAATAATTTGGTAAAGCCTTTGGGTGGTAGCACAGGCTGCTTCACACAGAGTAAGATGATGACTGCTCCAGCACACTCACAGTGGTTCAGAGAGGCTGAAGGCAGCAGCCAGCCTGATGTTTGCCAAATTCTCCTCCGCATTCAGCACACTGCAATCTCATGTCCTGGCAGATAAACTGCAGCCCTGTTTCCATCTCAAACACCAGCTGATCCAATGAATAACCAACTTCTTGACACACAGATCATAAAGGATTAGGGTCCAGAGGATGGTAACCATCTCTACAGAAACACTGTGCACCAGCAGGTGTGTGTTTTGGTCCTGCTGCTTTTTGCTCTGTATCCCAGCAGCCAGAGGAATGTCTACACAAACCCCATGCCATCACGTTTGTAGATGTCATAGACCTTCCTTATCAGCACAGAGCTCACACTCAACATCATGGCCAAGTACTGACTGAGTTCACCCACTGATGCAACAACCCAGCAGCGGACTGAGAAATAAAGCCAATGCAGCAGTGCAGTTCCTCAAATGGCCACGTCAGTCCCCATAGACTCCCATGTTAAAATGCCCAACTTTACCAGCAGAACTAAATAAATATGCTTACAGCCTTGTAAAAAAAACGATTTCAGTCTCTATGGCTAATTTCCCCCTCCATGACAACTGTACGGGTGGTGAATTTATATATAATTTGCCCATTTTAAATATATTGAGACTAAAATTTAGGCATAAATAAAGGGAATAGCTGATTTAAGCAAAAGGTGGGAGGGCCCTGCCATAGTTAGCTAGCTGCTAGCAGTCTAACAAGCTCCACTCATGCTCCAACTCGTTGCCAATTTTTGGATTAGCCAGCGGTACCGACATGGCAACGACCAGACTTGAGCTTCAAAACCATTCTGAAGAAAACCGATGGGTGACATCACGGAAGGTTTGTCTATCTTTTATATATACGGTCAATAGCAGCAACTAATGTCTGCATTAGCATTACACGATCAAAGAAATGCTAGAGGACTTCACAAGACAACAAGCAGCAGAGTGTCTCACACATCCACAGCTGGTAGAGAAACAGAGGTACCTTGCAGGAGGATCCTCTTTGTTGCTGAGGATACTGCCTCCTGCCTTGGCTGCCCTTTACAGGAAGTATTATAATATCTCATTAACACACTAACCCTTTGTTTATTGAAAACAAGTTCAATCAGATGGCCTTTAGAAAATGTGCCCCAAAACAATTAGCCTGGATTGAAACGGGCCTTTGTGCAAGATCTGGTCCACAACTGTGGCTTCATGTTGTCATGTTATTAAAATGTAACATTTAAGGATTTCCTTTACTTCTTTTGAGACACGTTGTGTAAGCAGCAGCCTGCATTTTCTAATCATGCTGAATTAAACTTACAGTATGGAACAGAGAGCTAGACGTCAGTGCCACCATCTGCTTGTATCATTACAGTAGCATGCTATGCTGCAGTGGCTACAGGGTTATGAGCTACCTGTTGTCACCGAGTCGGACCTGGCTGTGGGTAAACAGGTCTGAGAATGTTGATACATTCAAAAGAAACACTTTAGCATCAGTGTGAAAGAGCTACAGTGGATATAAGACCTTACACTTGCAGTTTCACTAACCACAGCAGTACCACTCTGGTGATTCTCAATTCAAGTTTACGCATTCGTGTCTCTTTCTTTGCTTGAGATTTCCATTGCTCTTCACAAATAATGTTCACGGAAGGAGAATGAATTAAAATATGCACTGTCACAATGGTACAGGTGAGATCAACAGGTGTGTGAGGTACCAAAAGACTCATCACTCACTAATACTGTGAATGCACATGGCAAATGACCAGCATGAACAAGCAGCAAAAAGAAGACAGTGCGCGTCTGTTTGTGTTTGTATGAAACAAAGAGAAGAGAACAGGGGGGGGAATATATGGCTTTAATAAAATGCAACATTGCCTTAATGTGTTATCCAATAATCAGTGGCCTGAAGCTTAACATATTTTACAGTTCATCTCAATTTCAGAATATGAGTCAGTGGCCATCCTGCAATATCCCTGAAACTGCTGCAGTTTGAAAATAACTAAAATTAAACAACCGGAAAAAACTGAACAGAAGCACTAAACGTTTATCAATGACTTTAACCCACCAGACATCATTCAGGATTAATACGCAGGAAGCAGCTGTTATGCCATAAATTAATATACAAATCAACTAATTAATTCTTAGTTTGCAAATTTACAGTCAGCGGCAAAATTATTTATTAATTGCCATGCTGACAGTTAACAGGTTTAAGGAATAAGGTTCATGGTTCGTCGGTGGACGGGGGTGCATTTTATTTGCTGTTATGTGTCTTTGGCTCTGTGTAAACACTGACTTTCAGGCTAATGTGTCGGTGTAAATACAGGAATAACTACAGCTTGGCAATGGTTAAAGCTTCATTAATTATATATGCCCAGTGTGAGGTGTCTTCATAGGCAGCACTGACGCAGATCCGTGCAGCAGATGGAAGGTCTAGATTGAGGATCAGGGGTGAAGCTAGCAGAGAAGATGGGGGTGGAGGGAGACTGGTGAAGCAGATGATAGGTGGGTGTTGAAGACAGTGAGAAGCACTGGGGGAGCATCTGTTCAGATCAACTGAGTGCGCAGCACGAAGTCAAAAAATAATGAGTGGCATCTTCACGGAATGCTTTTAAACCTGCCAGTCCAAACAGAAAGGCACTTGGTTTTGGCTCCTGGGCCAACTTTGGCCCACCACAGGACCACAGCCTCTGCGATGCAC